CAATTCTACCTCCGATAGGTACGTCTCCGAGTTTCCATGTCTTCCCCACGTCTCTCCCTCTCTCTTATTTTGTTTCATTTCGTTTTCCCTTCTCTGCGCTATTACTTGTTTAGGGCTAACGAAGTGATGTTTTTGAAATATCGTATCTGATTTTGTATCTCCGACATCTGTTTGCTCGTACCCGGTGAGTGTGTTGAGGAACAGAATTGATTTGTGTTATTCAATTTCTGGATCTGATCCTCGATTTTCTATCATCATCTTTGATATGATTCTCTTTCTGGGCTCGTGTGTCCTTTAGATCCGATTTTTTAGTACCTCCGAAGGATAATTCTTTGATCTAAAGTTTCTCGATTCTGCTTTAAAGTGGAATCATCTTGTTGATTTTATCTCAATAATCATAAATTACGATCAAAGCTGCTAAATGTTTCACCTTTGTTTTTTTGTTTCAACATGTGAGAGAGCTTTAAAGCTGTCACTTTCCTTTCTTCTGCTTTACGGATTCTTCCAGTATGATAATACTTAGCCATCTGATTCGTGATTGTTACTCTTAATTCTTAAACAGAAATCACCTGAAAAGGGACAAAAAAAGATGATCAGTGATCGGTCAGACTTCAGAGTTCAGATTCGGAGATTATTTGTTATTATGATCAGAACGTCCTACAGATGGATCTGCAATCATCCTTTTCTCCTGGGATTTGTTGGGTTTTTGTATTGTCTGCACAGAACTTGTCCTCTTCTGTTCTCTTCCTTGGTGGCTGCATCTCCTGTTTTGGTATGTACTTTCGTTTTGCTTGGAACGATTTTGAGTTTTGGAGAGCCAAACATACCTGAAATCGAGAAAGAGCCAGAAACTGTTCACGAGGCTGCTCTTTTCAGAACTGATGTTTCGAGGGATGCTACTGTTGTTGAGAGAGGTGAAAAGAGTTTTACGGTAGAGAGATTCGTAAGCACAGAGAAAGACGTACTTGGGGATGGAATTGATGATGCTGATAGATTAGGGGAAAACCAACTGAGTGAGGTTGAGGATGATGGCCGTTCATTTGATTATAGGCCTTTAGTTGATGAGACTCATCAAGATGCTCGTTCATTTGATTATAGCCCTTTAGTTGATGAGACTCATCAAGATGCTCGTTCGTTTGACTATAGCCCTTTAGTTGATGAGACTCTTGATGAGATCAAACGGGATACTCAGGTACGGTTTGAGGAGAAAGCATTTATTTTGNAGAAGACTGGAGAGTTGATAGAAAATGGTGGGAAGCAAGTTTCGGGTGCAGAACAATCAAGGAAAAGTGGTGGATCTTTAGATGAAATGATGGATGATTCAAAGGAAGATCAGACGGATGTATCTCCAGTTTCACCTTGGAGACC